CCTGGGTCTGGGCCGAAATCCGCGGACGTTTCTCGGTCAGCGGAGACTTCAGGTCTCGTTCGTCTATGGTTAGCTCTGCACCTCGGTGTAGCGAATCCTGATGGGAAAGCATGCGATCATCCAGATCAGCGATCTAGCTCGGGCGCCAAGCATTGTCATGATTGTTATCCAGACAGGACGCATTGCTAGTTAGACCGGTATTCTGAGGAGAAGCTCATTATCTGTTTGGCCTACATACGTGCGGTACACAATTACAAGAACGAACGTCGTACAAGCTGGGACAAGGACCGGACTGTCTACTTAGACTACTCTGGGGTTGGTCGTACACTGGATCTGGCGTCACGGATCAGTCAGCCAGTCGATGACAGTCAGTGAGGGAGACTTACTTCCGCTGGATCAGCCCTTTTGGTGATGGGCATTCAAAGTGTGGTGATGATACATGGCGACTAAGGCAAAACTGGTGGAGGAGTGGATGGTGAAACGTGCAAGTCATGACGATCCGGTGACGCTTGCGGGTATCCTGCACCAGACGAAAGGAGTGAATCGATGGATGGTGGTGTGCGAAGGCTCGAGCTCGGATGCCAGGGTGACTGTGGCATCCTAGTTGAAGCCGTCGAAGTGACCCTTGAGGATACGCTCCCCCATCGGAGACGGGGCACGGCGTGGGCGCTCCGGCGAGGAGAGCGTAGCAGAACGACCATGTCTACCAAATGGTTGACTGGCCTGCGTCGGGCTCACAGCTGAGTTGGGTGGGGCGATCGGGGCGAACGCTGAGAAAGCATGTCAGCATGTGTAAGGCAAAGTGGCAAGCACATGACTGACGTTCATGGTCAAGGACAGACGACGGAGAAGACCCTGCCCACGCTCTTGCTGAGCGTCAGGGACGACGGTCGAGGTATTCTGGCTGAAGCGTTCGGTAATTGCCGTGCTTGCCCGTCGGGCGTGTTTCGTCGCAGCCAGCTCTTTGATGTCAGTCTCATCCTCTGAAATCATGTGATAAGTACACGCATGCTTCTGGGAGTGGTTTGGACAGACCTTCGAAAACCGGCGGCGGGCCAAACTTGCGGAAGGGGAACGTGCCAGGGGCCTTGGTGGGCGATTGCGCCAGGAAGTACGACAAGATGGAGAAGTCGAGGTGGCGGGGGATTGAGCTACGATCTTGGGGTTGGCCAGAGATGTGGACAAAGGGGTCGCTATCTCTGTCGGAGACCCTCCAGAGGCCGACGAATCGGTGGAGGAGACAGAGAAGGATCGGGGGCGAGCGCGGGGCAAAGCAGAGGACGAGATGGGGATCGGCTTGGAGGCGGTCGTCGTTTCGGTGGGAGAGCGGTTGTTCGACATGGTGAGTGAGTGGGAGCGGCGAATTGGTCGTGCATTCTTGGGTCGGCACTTTTGTATGTGGGATTGGAGTAGATCACGTGAATTCTAAATGGGAAAGGAAGGAGAAGGCCGGGGGTTCTAGACTCCACAGCGTGTATGTACAGCAAAGAAGACAGATGGGAAGATGGCGACGGTGGTTTGCCTTCGAGCCTCGTTGCCCGACGACGACCTAGCCTGCCCGCGAATGCCCTATCGAGTCTCTGGACTCTTCATGTTATCTCATTGGCTGACAAGCAACTGACACCTCCTGGGATGCTCCGCTCCCGTCAAAACATCCGCAGCCAGCCGCTGCCAAAAGCCCCTATTTTACCCCGCATTTTGTGTTGACGTTCTCTATTAGTGGCGGTGTCTGGTGTCTGGGGGCCCCCAAGTCACTCGACATTCTTCAAATGGTTGGTCAAGGTGTGAAAGTCACGATACTTGCCAGGAGACCACCCATGGCTCGGCGATGACGGGTGCAGCGGGGTCACGGTTGCAGCCCACTTTCTGTATCCCGCAGACCATTGCCGAAGTCGTCCGTCAAGCTACGTTTATGCAGTAATTGGCGCTTCTGGCACGGTACACATTACTCATCGTACTCCAAGGCCGCTGGTCTCCCACGCTCTGCAAGACCCCGGCAGCGACGTTGTCTCGCCAAACCACACAATCTTCCGCCGACCGCTTGACTGTCATCGACTCGTTGCGACAATGAACACCGCGCAATACAAACTCGGGCCCGAAGCTCGGAACGGCAAACTAATTGTGCACGATCCCTGCTCGCGTGACCCAGTTATAACGGCTGGTGTCATGACCAAGGCCTAACACGCTTTGGGAAACTGACGGAGTCTTTTCCGACCTTGCGGACAAGGTTCAGAGACCGCTGGGATGCAAGCAGCTTCTGACGTCTTCGTGCTCCAACAAAGCTACTGGAATACCTGGGCAGGGTCGGAGATTGGCCTGGGACTTGCCGGAGATGGAGATTTCGTTTTCTCACGCAAAGATCACAGGAGCATCCCAGGTGTCATCGAGCACGGAGAGCGAGTTGCTCGAAGGGCGACGATGAGCCTGAGGAAGGTTGTCGGCTGAATCCACGGCTGGTGGAGTGCAGAAGTCTGTCTGGGAGCTCCAAAGTACCCTATCGACTCTCCGATGCGGGTGCGATCTGGAGACTGCAATCTTGCTCGGAAGGACATATGATGCCTGGACAGACGAGAATAGAGAGATCCAGATACAACTGGACCAAGATAGAGAGCGAGTCTGAACGCACGTCTGACATCGATCGTGTACACATCGAGGTCCTGGAAAGAGGTTTCTACGAGCTTAGTCCGAGCATGTGCGATCACGACGACGTAGATTGTTGCTGCTGCTGCAATTTGGATTGCATTACATTGACTAGTAGGCCCATATTCTCCCGCTTTTTGCCAATCGTTTCTTCGAGGGTGTCCAGATTCGTCTGAATGTAGGTGACTTTTGCAGAATAGTATTTTACGGCTTGCGGTCGCGTCTAACTCGACTAATGAGCGCGAGAAAAGACGAAAAGAATACTGGAACGCACCTTTCGCACGAAATAGCCGGTGCCAACGTCGACGATGACGTGCTCTGTGTCGGAGAGCTTGCCGGGCACGTAGAGCGAATTGGTCAATGGTACCAGGATCGGTTTAGCTAGCACGAGTGAGAAAGGATCGGAATACCCCGAGCAGGTACTGACCAGCGTTTGCTGGTTTGATCTCCGCAACATTTTCGATACAGGCCTTGAATTTAGCTTGAGCAGATTTGAGCTGGGCGAATGAGTTGGTGAGGTGTGTCAGTTCCTGGCGCGATGTGAGAATCCTGGGCCGAAGTAGCGCTTCACGATTCACCTCTTCCAACTGCCTTCGCACATCCGCAAGCTGCGGCAGGTCCAAGTCAGTCACACTAATCTGTTGAGGTTGCGACATGAGGCAGAGGGAAGCGCGTCACGATGTGACCGTCACGGTGATTATTGCTCTTCCTGCTGTTGTTCCGCTCCACTACACTCTTTTTGCGCCCCCCATGTGTGCATCGCATTCCAAAGGACGGTATCCTCAGGATATTGGTATGTCACGTTATCTCGTCACTCCGCACGATGTAGAATGTGACCGGTCCCTTGCAGTTGCCATATTTCATGCCTCCTTCCATCCGACGAAAGGGAATATAATAGACTGGGCGTTAAAGGCGAACGACGGTGCGTTGCAGTGGGATCGGCCGTGTTTTATCTCTCATTTGTTGAGACTAGACCTCAGCCTCGAGAATCTTGAGTTCAACGCCCTTCCGAGTGGATTGCACCTCGTAGAGCAAGACGTCGTGTGAGTGTCTGTCTCGTGCTGGGATTTCGATGGGTGTATCCTCGTGCGCTTGGTCCCTTTCTCATCGAGAGGGGGACTCCGGTATCTTCCGGTTCTTGTCTCCGTGACCGGCAGCTTCCTAGCTTCCCTCCAGAGACTGCGGGACATGCAACTGTGACTGCGGGTCTTACTTTGATTGCGCATTGCTATGTGATCCCTGTTCAGGCGACGGGTCGTGCCTAAGTCTACGGTGTTTAAAGCTTGCGACGTGATATAAGCCGGCGAAACGTGCGGCAGCCTAATGCTATCGAGGGGATGTCGATTGATGGAGCCAGTTGTCGCGTGGGCCTGGCAGTCTCGTATTCTATACTAACTCTTCCTCAGATACTTTAATAAAGATGACCAACATGGTGTCTGCGTGTTCAAGCGGCGCAAGACAGTGGATCACGGGCACCGGGGCTTCCGGCTTTCGTCTTTAGGCATTCTGGTTGGCAAGTCGAGTCGCCCACGACCTTGGCGCCATACGGTGGCCTTGAAGGAGCTGATCAACAATCTCTATTCGCGGTTCGAAAGCTTGGAACGGGATCCCACAGAAGCCGACTGGGAGCCTGCTCGCGTCTTTTTCGAAGCACGCAAGGCCAGCCGGCCCAATCTTGGCGGAGCGGGAGACTGGAATGGCTGGAGTGAAGAGCTACTTGAGCGTGTGCGTCTATTCGGATATCCCGATCACAGCTGTCGTTGATTTGCCCAATTGCAGCTTGACGATGATGCACTGGAGCAGAACCCAACACTCCATCTGCCCCACTTACTTCGCATCCTCGGGCCATCTTCCCTCACGCTCTACAAACATGTTGTGGCTCGTCGGCGAGTTATGATATACACCGTTCCACCAGTGGAAGCCGCATCCATCCTGTGCCAAGTTGCCGCCGACATGTGCTACGAACTGCAGGTCGAGGAGACCAGTTCTGAAGCGTCGTCCTCTTCCACACCATCGTCTTCCAAACCTCACCGGCGAGGCAAACACCAAAGCGGCGTCAGTGTACTGGGAATGGTGACATTGATGGACATGGATCGGTTACAGACCGAGAGCGAACGTGGAAACGGCTGGGTTGCATGTAAGCACATAATATCCCTTTTTGGCCATATTTGTGGCTTAAGAGAATGTTTAGGCACGACTGATGCGTTGTTTCTTGAGAAGCCGCACTGCTACGACTTGATCATCGACTTGACAACTGCTGCCCCAGGGCATACCGCTCGGCCCACTTTCTATGCATCCCGGCCCGCTTCCTCACCGAGTAAATCCGCAAGACCAAAGGGACCCTCACATCGGCTCTCCATTGTGCGCTTTTCCTGGAGCGACGTCAAGCTAGTACGTGTGCATGTAATTCCTTCATTACACTCATCTGACAGGTGTTGTGGATCTGTTAGTGGAATGAAGTGAATCGGATTCTCAAATTGGACCACTCGTCTTCACACTCCGCGTCTTGTTGCACGCTCTCCGTTCCCGAGTCCAAGGCCAAGTCTGGGCCGATAACCGTATGGACTGACGCGTGGCGAGTTTACGAAGACGTTTGTGTTATCTGCGCGGGTCTGCTGATGGGCATGGGCATCGGTGCATGGGCTGGACGGAGTGCCGCTGGGTCAGATGGTCATGTCCATCTCGAGGGAGAAGATGAAGTGAGCTTGCATGGCTTGCGAGCAGGGGGCAAGGTGCGAAATTTGGGGCTGGGCATCGAAGGGGGCCCCAAACCTTCGATGTCTAGTTTTAGAACGGCCCGTCGGTCGAGTGCCGTCTCGTGGTCGAGCGGCAGAGCGACGATCAATGCCACCGGCACCAGCTCATTCTCCAAGGGGAAAGGCATCGCGGCCCCTGAGGCAGCAGTGGACGACGAAGAAGAGGACGAAGACGACTCGACTCGCACTGAACGGGAGAAGCAGATCCTGACGACGTTGTCCTTGTTACAGACACTGCACGCGCAGACGTCCTTCCAACTGGCTGCTCTCGACACCTTGCTTCCTCGCTCGGCGCCTACCGTGGTTCTTACTTCGCGAGAAATGCCGTCACTAGGCCTCAGCCCAGTCAGCAGCTCGGATGCCCGGTTTCTTGAATGGCTCGCGAAGGAATACGGCGGCGATGTGGAGGTGATCGTCAAGCGGGGTTGGAAGGATGCGATCGCAGCTGTGTTAGGCTATTGAAAGACTTTGCGCGGGTGTGCCACCAGGACATATTGTATCTTATCCCTAATTGTATTTCAAACCTCATATACCCACTCTCTTGCAATCAGATAACTTGGAACGCCATGTGAATGTTTGTGTTCCATTGGTGAAACTGTCGGAGACCATGGGAAACGCCTGGGAGACATCGTCCGGGGATATCCAGATTCATCTATGCTATCTAGTCCAGCTGTGTTCGGCAGGCTGCGGCGATGTCTCCAGAGAGTGCATAGTCCAGACGATTCATTAATCCTGAGTGCATGGTACATCCTGTTACGCAAGTTGCTGAGTTCTAGGGCCATAGACTCCCGTGAAACATTGAGTCGCAGGCGTGTTTTATATCCCATTGACAAGTCACTTGACATGGTTTCGAAGTCGGATGCGGCTTGCTTCTACGTCTCAGAATGGACCCCGGAGTTTATCAGACAAGAGAAGGACAGATGCAGTGGCCAAAATGACGACGTTTGGAGGGAGATCTCGCGTGAGTTTGACTATTTCCAGGTGAGAAGCGCGCGTGGCCTCCAAGCTTAGACTCGCTCCTCGTGCAGGAACCAGAAGAAGACCAAATGCAAAGGTATTTGAGCCAGCGAGCCAGCGGGTCAGTCAGACCAGGTTTCATTAAGCACGATGGGGGAACGGTGGCGCCGTCCAATGAGTGCCTGATTGAGGTCGCGGTACGTAGCGGGATTGAGTACATGGTGCTCTCCTCGGCACTCGCTCGCGTTCGATTGAGTTCCCCAGTCGGGCAACACGGTCTAGACTTGGTCATGAATCCTGATTTAATAGCATCCGTGCGAGAAAGGGCCGAGGCTGAATGTTGTTTTGGATTCCAGTCACGGAGGTCCAGGGTCGCGGGTCAAGAGGCACCGATTTGGCTGAGTCAGCAGATAGTTCTTCACTTCACGATCCATCGTCCTGCCCAAAGCCAATCCAAATCCAACTCTAATCCGCTATTCGCAAATGAAGCCTTTGTTGGATAGATGTCAGGACGCGAAGAAGGATGACGAGGGATCTCAGGTGGGGATTTAGCATCGCGACACGTGGGGGCGGCATTTCATCCGCGTTTTTTGCGAAATCGTAACGAGTGCTCGTGCGGGGCTATTTAGGCCAGCGTAGGCTTGACAACCCCCTTTCCTCCCCCCCGTCGCGCTTTCCCTTGTACATTAAGACGGATCGGCTCCGGTCTTACACTTTCGTTCCCCCGCCACTGTCTCCCGCCTTGTCGCTTTGCATCCACTACCCGCGCCACCTGCACACTTCGCGGCCTATTATCTACCTTCGTTCCCATTTGAAACTGCGACATCCCCATGGCGTCTTCTACATCTATCGCCAACCTGAATCGCATCCGGCGTAAGCCTGCACCGAGCATTCCCGCCGACCTCGCGCAGATTGCGGATGACGAACACGCCAGCGTCTTTGACTGTTTCGCTACACCTCAGAAGCGACACTCGTTTACGCTCTATCCTGCTGTACTGCCTGACACGGCGTCCATCGCGCCCTCGGTCTCTCACCGCTCGCACTCTTCGACAGATTTCAGCTTCGAGACCCACCTGCACGGGACCTCGCCCTCGCGAGCCGGTTCCCCACACTACGTAACACGACGGCGGGCTGAATCCACCGCGCCTCTGCACACGGATCTGCCGTCCTGCCCGCCATCTACAGAGACTCCGGCATTCCCCGCGCCGCGCCCCAGTTTTCTCTCCCGACTCAATCTCTTTTCGGCCGCCGCGGCCGCGACGACGACGCCGGCACCAGTCAGAGTGCGCAAAGACACGATCTCGGCGCCTCGCTCGACCTCGCTCGCGTCGCTTCCTGCGGGGATGGTCCCACCGGAGCTCGCTGCGCTCTCTGGTCGGCCGCCCATCGCGATGCGCGAGCTGAAGCTGCCTGTGCCGGCCCGGTCAGGATCGAGATCATCCTCTGCCTCGGATTCGACTCGGGCGTCGTCCAGTGACGACTCGGCAGAATTCGATACGGATGTGACCTCGCCGCCCACTTCACCGACCTCGCCGTTGTCGCTGGTGCCGAAACACCCCTGCGACGACGGACTCCCCACGCTCAACTTTCTGCCACCGACGCCACCGAGTGGGTTCATTGGAGCAAGGCGGAGCGTTATTCGCAAGCCCAGTGCTTTGTCGCAGCCTGGTAAGGAAATGCAGTCGTATTCGCTTGCAAAACTAACTCTCAGGACAGAAATGGTACAATCTTCTGCGTCGATTAGCGAGCAACTCCCATCCTCAACCATGACCCTGCCTCAAGCGTCACTCCCCGTCCGGTCTATCTCTCTCCCTCATCTCATGGCTACTCCGTCTCATCTTTCGGCTTCCGCTTCGTCGACTAGAAGCAGCAAACACGGAAAACGTAAGCCCGCGCCCCTGCCGGCGCTTTCTACCCCGACGAAGGAATCGCTCGTTTCTGCCCTCTCACGAGAAGTTGT